GTAAACACATTATATTTTGACAAAGAAGCCATAGATACACAGTGGATAAAAAGCATCATCTTCCACAAATGTTGCTGGTTAAATTGGATGGCTGCATGTAGAAGAATGTAAATAAATTCACATTTATTACCTTGCATAAAACTTAATTCCAAATGGATCAAGTACCTCAGTGTAAGGTCAGACACACTGACCTGATAGGGAAAATGGGGAATTGTGTTGAACTCATTGGACAGGGAAAAGACTTTCAGAAAAGGACCTCAATAGCACAGGCACTATGACTAACAGTCCCTAAATGGCACTTCATGAAGATAAAAAGCTTCTATAAGGCAAAGGATACCATCATTTGAAAAAAACAGCAGCCTACAAGATGAAAAACAGGTATCAAGTATATATCTAATAGAGGATATGTGTATAAAAATATAAAGAACCAAAACAAGTTAAAAATCAAGAAAACAAACAACCGAATTAAAAAAAAAAAAAAGAACTGAACAGAGAGTTCTCAAAAGGCAAAACACAAATGGCCAAGAAACACTTAAAGAAATATTCAACATCCTTATCTAGGAGGGAAATTAAAATTAAAAGTACTATAAGATTTTGTCTTGCCCCAGTCAGAATGGCCAAGGGTAATAAAACAAATGACAGTATATGTTGGTAAGGTTGAAGGGAAAGGAGAACTTTTATTCATTGTTAGTATGAGTACAAACTGGCATGCCACTATGGAAATCAGTGTGTAAGTTCTTCAGAAAGCTGAGAATTGATCTATCTCAGGATTCAGCTATACCACTATTGAAAATATACCCAAGGACACTACGTCTTTCTACGGAGATGCATGCTTACCCATGTTCATTGTTGCTCTATTCATACGAGCCAGAAATTGGAAACAGTCCATCAACTGAATAGATGATGAAAATACTTACTCACTTACACAATGGAATGTTATTCGGCTGTTAGAAAAAATACAATTATGAAATTTGCGGGTAAATGGACAGAACTAAAAACAATCATCATGGGTTAGGTAACCCAAACCCAGAAAAACAAACTTTGCATATTATGTCTTGTGGACTTTAGCTTTTAAGCTAGATATGCGTGTTTCAACACAAATACCACAGAAGTTAACTAGATAAAAATGGACCAAGGGGAGGAGGTCATCTTCTAGGGAAGGGAAAATAAGAGTAAGGATTTATGAAGAGATAAAAAGGTAACTAGAATAGGAGGGTTAAATGAGGAGGGAGATGGGAAGTCAGTGTAACAAAAGAAATACAGGGAGGTACAACTAACACTAAAAATGTTTTGAAACCAATGGTACGGTAGAAGGTTCCAAAATATATGCATGCATGGAAATAGTGAAATGAAGTTTTCATATGTGTAGCCCCGTCTAGATTTTACATCACCAAGTATGACAACCAGTGCCAGAATAGCCTGCATCGTGTTCCTTCATTGAACCCTTTAAACATAACAGGCTATTTGTTGCTCTTCATGACCTGATGGCAAAACCCTATTGCTAAAGACCCAACTTAGTTATGGAATTGAACATAGAAACGATGAACTGGTTTACACTAAAAGTTTCACCCCCCACTGACTAGTTTTCATGGTTCTGGAAGGTACTGAATGCTACTAGAGGAGAAACAGAATAATCGATTTCATGCAGTCACAAACCCTGTGACCCACAACAGTGACCTGCCTGCAAGATATTCTTATGCAACAGTGGCACAAATGTCATGGGAGTAACTAAGCACTTTTTATTGGATTTATAGCTCACTCCATTATATGGAACCCATAAATGACATTGGTAAAGTGTTCAAGAACCTATCCAGTCCAGTCTAACAGACTAGATAGGTCATAGGCCTAGGGAAAAATATGCTATTATTCTGCTAAATTAACATAGCAATGTAGTGACTTCTAATGATGCATTAATATACCCAATAGAGCAGAGCATTGCTCAGCTCCCATCGGAGAAGCTTCTTTTTGCAGTGGATGGTAATTAACAAAGAGAGCTACAATTACTCAATGTGAAGAGAATGAGAGACTTTAAAATAAACCAATATGGGATATCTTTAACAGAGTGCTTACAAGGCTCAGAGGTTCACATGAAAGAGGAGTAAGATATGAGTCAAAGGTAGTAGATGACTCCAAACAGCATCTTACAGACACAACAGGGCTCATATTCATATGGACTTACAAAGACTGTGATAGCACACACAAGAGCTGCACAGGTTCAAAGCTGACAAAATCCCATCACTGAGGAAGGGACTTAGATACATAGTGACACCTTTAACCAAGAAGCTATTTGCACTTGCTACATTCTCAGAAAGAAAAAAATCAGTTTCCTCCAGTGGTGTGGCACTTGCCTCACACTCCAAGGTAGGACCCAGGAGTACTGGTGAATACAACATGGATTACATGTTCTTGGTGGTGGTGGGCGCACACACACATTTTTGTTTGTTTTGGTATTTTTCATCTTACTGGTTTTTATTGTTTTCTCTGTTTGGGGGGTATTGAGAGAGAAATAATGTGAAGTTGGGTGGGTAGGAAGATGGGGAGGATCTGGAAAGAGTTGGAGGGGAATTGTATGAGCAAAATATAGTATATACATTTTTAAATAAAAAATTTGAAAAATAAAATTATTAAATTCTCGGGTATATATGTGGAGATGAAAGTAGTCACTCTGAGTGACATAATCTAGACCCGGAAGGCAAACTACATTTTCTCTCATTTATGGATTTTCAGATTTGTGTGTATCACTTAGAAGTCAGGAAATAATTAAGGGGCCATGAGAGGAAGAACACTTTAGTGGAAGGAATATAAATTGCAGTGGTGTAGAGGTTAGAGGGGAATAATGGAGTAGGAAGAGTTAAACAAGTGGGGCGTTGAGGAGGAAATATGGAGAGTGATACATAATATTAAAGACATTTTGAAACTGTCATGTAGAACCTACTACTGTAGAAGATTTCTAAAATGTATGCATATACACATAAATATATTTAAATGGAGTTACCCTATATTATGAAAACAATCCCCTACTAGACACCAAGAGCTAAAAATTACAAAACCCAGCCCCAGGAGTGGACTACTTCTTTTGGAGTTGTCCAGTGAGGTCTCATCAAGCCCCAAACATTACTGACTATTGCCAGTGTTGTTGATTGTCCTCCAGAACTCACCAGTAACACCACATTGCTGAAGGCATCACCTACTAGAGTCATAGAACACAGAGAAGTCAAACTGGAACATCGGGATAACATTTACAGTGGTTGAAGGTATTATGCATTTTACCAGATGAATGAAATGATCCTCAGTCTTACCCAGCTGTAAGCTAGGGAAGGCATGCTTATTGGTGTGATAATCATGAATGTTATGGGAGTAACCTACCGCTTTCTGATTGGATATGAAGTCCATTGAAAGGCATACCTGCTGCTGTTATCTGGGCTAAGAACAGAAGAACCTACTTATATTGCTTTTATAACAGACATAGTATTAAATCAACTCCTAATGATGCATTGTTTACCTGTATATTAGTGTATCTCTCAGCCCTCATCAGAAAAGCTTCCTTTTGTAGTAGATGGCGATTAACACAGAACCTCACAACTGGTGCACATGAGAGACTGAGATTTCTTAGCTCAAAATGAGCTATATACATGGCATCCACCCCTCCTCAGCTCAGGGACCATTGGAGAAGATGGAATGAAAAAACTTGTAAAAGCCAGAGGGGTGGATGACTAGAAGAAAACAGTTTTCAGACACAACAGAGTACTTAAACATTTGGTTTGACAGCACACACAATACCTGCGCAAACTCAAGCCAGACAAAATCCCAGCATGGAGAGGGAAGGTAGTCATGAAGTCTTACCCTGAGCTATGGAGCTATTGGCAATTAATAGCTGCTGGGAGAGGGAGAGTCAGTCTTCTTAAAGGTCTGACCCTCCATAGGTTGGCTATGGTCCAGTGGAAGGCCACATATCTGAAGTATATGGGCGACAAAAATTTGTGCTTGATGTTTTGTTTTGTTTTGTTTTGTTTTGTTTTTTTTAAGAGGGACACAAAGTTAGGAGTTGAATCTGGGAAGAGTTAGAGGAGATGGGTAAATATGATCAAATACATTGTATTCTCAAGGTACTAATAAAAATGAGGAAATGGGTTGCTGAGGTAGCTTAGTGATTAAAAGAACTTGCTGCTCTTGTGGAGGACCTGAATTCAGTTCCCAGCACCCAGCTCGGTTCTACGCTACACCCCGCATATAACTCCATCTTCAGGTGACCTGATTCCCTCTTCTGGCCTCAGAGGGCATTTCCATGTATGTAGCATACCCTACAACACACACACACACACACACACACACACACACACACACACACACTTTTAAAAATCAAAATTTTAAAGCAGAAAACACAAAACAAAAATAATGCAGGAGATTAGATACTATCTCAGATCTGCCAAGTGAGAGCCAGCCAGCATCTTCAGAAAATTCTGGGCATTTTGAGGCATTCTGCCAGAGAAAGTGACTTAAAGTAAGTCTTTGCTCACTGTGTCTTCCTAGCCTAGATAGACAAGCAGGTATTCAGTCAGTGTAACATCCCTCTGTCTCCCTGGCCCTCATGTGACAGGTTGATGAGCCCCTCCAAGACGCCAGGTCACGTGTGTCTCAAAATGCCCAGAATTTTCCAAAGATGCTGGCTTCCTTGGCCTTCTGTTCCTCTCCAAAAAGCTGTACACTGTGCCAAGAAATGCCAAGCCACTGAGAAAGATTAGGGATCAAGGTAGCAGCCCTAGAAATCCATCTGTCTTCTGTGCCTTTGAGTGAACCCTGGAAACCTTTTCAAGGAAACTCATGGCAAGCATTTTAGTTTATTATACAAACTCATGGTGGAAGCCACAGATGAGAGATCTGACCTTGTAAACACATTATTTTCTAAGTGAGAATTCAGGCCCAGGCTGAGAGGCTGAGGGGAGGGTGCAGGGCAGCTGACATTTATGTAGTGAAGTTTCTTCTCCATTTTTTTCACCTAGCTCAACGACTCTGCCAAGCAACTCATTGAGATGGACAAGCTGTTCCCTGCCGCGGCCACTGCATACAACTACGATGCCCTCTTATCCTCTGACCCTGGCACAGCAGCCACTGTGGCCCCAGGTCCCACCCTAAGTAGCTCTGGGGCAGTCAGTGCCTTTCAACGACGTGTGGACAGCAAGAAGAATGCCAAGAAGCGCCATTCCTTCACTGCGCTCAGTGTGACGCACAAATCCTCCCAGTCTGCCAGCCACAGGCACTCCATGGAAATCAGTGCTCCAGTGCTGATCAGCTCCAGTGACCCACGCGCTGCAGCCAGGATTGGGGAGCTTGCCCATCTGTCCTGCACCGTACCCACCCAGGTAATTCCCAGAGCCCACAGCCAGTGGGTCCTGTTCCCAGGGGTCCTGTTCTACCTCCATGCCTAGTACCCTGGATTCCTAAACTATTGTAAGGGAAACCACACCAGAACTGATGTGGGTGGCTAGAGCCTCCTCCTTTGGGCAACCACTTGGCATCAAGAGCCTTGTAAACATACACCTTTGCCTCCATGTGTGATGTGATGGCCAGTGGTTCCAGGATACAGTGCTGGAGCCGCATTGAGTCATCTTGGAAATTCTTCACTTGCTGACACTCAGTATCTCTGTCCAGGAAGAGTCTTGGGGAGGGGGAACATTTTGAGCAACTATGTGAAGTTCCTTTCAGCAGAGAAAGGGCAAGAGCTAAGAAGCAGCGTTAGCTACACTGCTTAGTCCTTTGCTGCTGTTGTTTCTATAGATCCTTCCAGTTCCACCTTCTAGTTCCACTAGTCTGTAGACTTGAGTAACCACAGTAAGATGCTTAAAGAATATAGAGCAGTAGGACCCGAAACTCCAGGAAACCTGGCAATCTAGAGAAGTTTCTCCTTTATGAATGCCAGGAAGGGAGGAGGGCGGCTCTCCTGCACCATTAAATTTCCACTGAGACCAAGGAGAAGAGAAAGCGCTTCCTGGGGTGTGGGCCACTGTTCTCCAAGTTCAGCATACACGAGGACAGGGTGCCTGTGCACAGTCCGAGTGGGGAGGGCCAGTTATTGCCCACTCCGCACCTTCTTACCCAAGCTCCATCTGTGAGCCCTGCTTTACTTTTTCTCCAGGGCCACCTCTGATTGTCACGGGCGTGCTTCAGAGGGATGGCCAGTATATGGCTAAACTGGGGAAGGAACCAATAAGAAAAAGGCTTTATTTTTCAAAATTCCCGTTGACTTGAGCAATGGCTTAGCAGTTAAGAGCATGTATTACTCTTACACAGGGCCCAGTTTCAATTCCCAGCACCCACATGATGGCTCACAACCGTCTGTAACTCCAGTTCCGGGAATCCGGTGCTCTTTTCTGACCTCCACAGCTATCAGATGCACACATGTGTATAAACATATATGAAAGCAAAACAATCCAATACAGGAAATGAGATAAATACATCTATTTTTTGAGGCAGTTTTACTGTGTAGCTCTGGCTAGCCTGGAACTCATAATGTAGTCCAGGCTGGTTTTGAACTCATAGAACTTCTACCTACCTCTCCTGCGTAAGTTAACGATGTAAGCTATCACAGCCAGCCTGAAATAGATCTTAACAAACAAGATTAAAAGACTGAACTTACAGAGAATTATAGTTTTGTTAGCTATGGAACATGAGCTTAATACTGCAGCTGCACATATGCCCATCCTTGCACAGACATCAACGTCATTTGCTTACAAACATAACCTGTGCGCATGACACAAACACCCCTACAGAGTGTCATAGACTTTACCAGCACAAACCAATGTTGGTTTCATGGCACATGCAGGCACTGTGGTGTCTGGAGCGTTCCTCACCCATGTCTTACATGTTCCTCTGCCCCCACCCATTTTTCTCAGGGAACACTCCTTAGGCCTTGTTCTGGTTTGCTCTCTGATGCTCCCTGATTAAAAGCAACTTGAGGAAAGAAACAGGTTTTTTAGCTTGTGCTTCCAAAGGGAAATCAGGGCAGAAACACAAGCAGGAACTGAAGCAGATACCATGCAGGAATATTGCTTTCTGGCTCGCTCACTCACAGTCTCTCCAACTCGTTCCCTAGTTCATGATCAGCCATCTTATATAGCCCAGGCCCATCCCCCTACAGATGGTGTTGCCCTCAGTGGGCCAGGTCCTCCCACATCAATCATCAGTTAAGACAACCTCTTATAGACACAGCTACAAGACAATCTGATCCAGGCAATTTTTCAACTGACAGTCCCTCTTCCCAGGTGATTCTGGATGGTATCAAATTGACAATTAAAATTAATTAAAAAGAAGAAACACAGGACTGTTGGTACATTTTCTGTAAGAGGTGGCGTTACTTGGCCTGACCCTTGGCCCCACCTTCCTTCATGGACTAATCTCTTCACAAATGCCCTATTTCTATGAGGGGCAGAGGAACTGACAGCAACCATCCCTGTTCCCACAAACAATTATGTGCCAATCCAGACATTGTGAGTAGGGGAGAAGGACAGCTTGAAGCCTCAGGCTCTGCAGCCCACAGTAAGCAGCTCTACTTCTGGCCCAGGAAGTGACTCACAGCAGGCAAGCTTTTCTCCCCTGGCAACCCACCATGCTTATTCAGGCTGTAACTCAGACCCCTTAGTTGTCTGATGAGTTCTTGGACCCTGAGGAGGATGGAGGAGGGAGAGGACAGGGTTGTCATCTGGGATCCACACAGGTATGTGTGACCCTCTCCTCTAGGACATTGTCATGGGCTGTTAGGTTCGGAAGTTCTTTGGAATCATGGTTTCTTCACAAAAGATATGTATTATTGATGCTGGTGAATTCTGAACCCACTGACCACTGGACTGTATTCCACAGGACAGTCCATACAGGTGTCTCCTATAGAAACAAAATCAGCTAGCATGGGCCCTACTTGCTGAACACTGTTAAATTCTGCTAAAAGCTAGGTTGGCTTCAGGAAGGGTGCTGATGGGAACACATCCTCTAGGTCTCAGTGCTATAAGATAAAGCTGGATCGAGACATCCTTCTGTCAGAGTAGGCAGCTCAGAGTAGGCAGCTGGAACTGGCTCTGTTGCTGGTTAGGTGACCTCATCCTGAAGTCCTGTAGTAGATGTGATGTAATGCAAGCCTGATCCACACTTGCTCAGAGCATCTGTGGTGGCTAATGGTGGTCTGGCTTGCTCTCTGTTACCTTAAGATGAAAGGAAGCATGAGGACTGTGGTTTCTGCAGAAAGGACTGAAGAAAGCCCAACAGGAGCCCCCTTGCTTCTGAGACAGAATGTTGAGCACTGTGAAGCCTGAAGCTATCTCTGTAGTCTTCCTCCAAGCGGTTGGGCCATGTCTGTGGATTGTTTCTCCATTTGTGTTTGGACCCCCTGTCTTCCTTGTCATCTCCCCTTCCTTTGCTGTGCAGGTTTCCTTACCACTAAGGGGAACCACAATGACCACCCTTCCCCATCACTGTACCTTGGGCACTGTGCGGTGGAGGGAGGGCCAGGGTAGAAGAACAGCCTCCTCTCTGGCTGTCTCCTTTGGAGAGCTGCTGAGCCTGTACAACCCTACTGAGCAGACCCTGGGGAAATGCCTAGGCTCATCTCTAGGAATCTCAGTTTCCTATTGGGTGGCATGTTCTGGTTTGCTCTCTGATGCTCCCTATTAAAAGCAACACTGAATGTGCAAGAGCGGACCTGCTGCTGGGGACCCGAGGGTCAGGCACAAGCCCCCCATGTGGGCTAGTTATTCCCAAGGCATGGGAGCTGCACTGACTTCAGTTCACCTGCTTCCTGATTCTGTGATTACGTGTTATGCTGGGCCCTGGAGCTCCTGAAAGGAAGCAGTTATAGATAAGGGTATAACGGAACCAGGATCACCTGCTATTGCTCTTCTACTATAAAGCCAAGCCAGGTTGCTTAACATCGTGTAAACCATCAAGCCCTTTCAGCAATGAGATAACCAGGCCAGGCTGTTGCTCTACTCCTGCCTCACCAGAGGCATCTAAAGACCTCCCCTGGAGGCCACTTGGGGGCAGTTAGCTCATTGTCATGTGGGATGGAGAAAATTCAGATGCCAGTTCCTGCTGAAAAGCACCAGCCCCCAGCATTTTAGTTTTCTGCTTCTCTTTCTCTGACATGTTTTCTTGGGTAGCTCAGGTTAGCTTCATGCTTTCTGTGTAGCTCAGGCTGATCTTAAACTCCTGATCCTCTTACTTCTGTCTCTTAGGTGCTGAGATTATAGGCATATGCCACCAACTGTAGCCTGTGGCCAGAATTTCTGGAAATAATTTATTGGGATTCAGCCTGAGTAACTCAGAGACCCCTCCCCTACCAGGGCTCTGTGATGACAGTTAGCGAACACCATGCAGCTTGGGGACTATGGATGGCTCTTCTCCTAAATCCCACCTTTGCTAGAGAGCATACCTGAGCTACTTCTCCAACTCAGAGCACCAGACAGGTACCTGATGCTCTACTCTGCCTAGGGATGAAGCTCTCCATCGACCCAGGACTTAGTGCTCAAGCCAGGTCAATGCTAGATACAGTGGCATGTTTACCTCAAACCCTTTCTTTCCCTATGCACTGGGCTCTAGAGGAAGGCACTGTTGCTTGCAACAAAAATTATAAAATTTGTTTCTGTGTTCACACCATAGACATCAAGACAGGTAACAAGTGCCTGCTGCTGGAGACGCAGTAGGGTTTCAGGCCTAGGCCTCCTGCCTCACAGATTCTCTTCTGTGGCGTGCACAGTGTAAGATGGTAGACTCCCTCAGACTGTTGAAACCAGACTCAGGGAGAAGGAGAGGTGAGAGTGCTACTTGGTCAGGCTGTACGGCTGGCAGAGGGCTAGCAACTGTCTGCACCTGGATAGCCAGTGCTGCTGGGGACTGACGTAGAGTTTTTAGCAGCCTCAGACTTGCTGCACCCAGGCTAGCAGGGCACTGGCTTGCTGACGTGTAGGCCAGCCTCATCTCTTACAGCCTAGCTTTGAACAGCACACTGTCCCTTGGTGCTCACTCCACTGATCCCAAAAGCCTCACTGCAAAGCTCTCCTCATGGACGGAGTGGAGAGAAAGGAAGATGTGGTGCACACCTCTCCTGGGAGTGCTTAACTGTCCAATAACTGTCTTTTAGCCGGGACACCTAGCTGAGCCCGTAGTTGTCTGAGTGTTGCCTTAGGGCCTGGGAGCTAGCTTTGCACAAACCCTATTTGTTTATTTACTTACAGACGGGGTTCCATGTATCCCTGGCCGGCTGTATAGCCAAGAAAAACCTTAAACTTCTGATCTCTTTGCCGTCGCTTCCCAAGTGCTGAATAACAGGCACCCTCTATTCACTGGTTCTTCTTGGTGCTGGGAATGAGGCTAGGGC